AATGATAAATTGCATTAAAATACAATGATCCATAAATCTACTACAATTAATACACCTGACTTTTGTTCATCACCTATTCTTACAAAATGTGTTGAAATATTGTGGGATTTAAAAATAGCTTTAAAGCAAATAATAAACTGTCATCTAAATTACAGAAAAATAAAAATAACACTGACATCTCATTTTAACAAAATTACACAAAAAATATCTTGAAATACTAATGAGTAAATGTATTCAATAAAATCACCATTGGCTTCAACCACGGCCTTCAAACAACTTCGGAATCTCTTGCAACTCTTCTGGACAGTCTCCTTGTTTGAGTTGGTGAATGCTTCCATAATCCTTGCTTTCAGTTCATCTTTGGTATTACAAGCAGTTTTGTTGATCTCTCACTCAAGTGCACCTCACACATAACAATCAAGGGGGTTGCAGTCTGGGGAGTTAGGTGTCCAGATGTAAGGGGTGTTGTCACAAAAATTGACTGGCTTCTTCTGCTTGTTTGCTATGGTGCAGTGTCCTATTGTCAGGTGGAGGGTCTTCTAGGAGACATTCTCTTGACCCAGAGCAGCACTACCTCCTCAAAGCACTTTATGAAGGCCTCTGTGTTAAGTCTGAGACCCTCACCAACAAATTTAGGAGTTCTTTCCTTATTAGAATAATCAATAAGTTTTCAGAGCTGTCATACCTTCGTAATCACCATTAGACTCAACCAATTTTTTCTGAATCCTCTGCACTGTCCTCATATTGACACCCAAAACCCCTGAAACGTTCATATTAGAGCTTCTGAAGCATAAATGCCAAGCAGTACAGCATGCTATTTCCAACTTTCTGGCAGAGTGGTGCTCTTTTCTCACAGATGGTGCCCAACTGAGCCTACTATGCTGTGCAGTCAACAAAAAACAAAAAAAAACAACTTGCATGCACAAAATTAAAAATATAAAATGATGACAATTTACCCATTGCACCCTATATAAGTAAAATGTGAGGTAAGAAAAAAAATTTTTAGTTGATTAATAACAATTTCATTCTGTCTCGCCAATGTACATTTGATTGAAATAAAATACATTTTTCTGATGATTAGGTTTGATCAGCAGATCCTGTCAAAATAAGGGTTTTCCAAATTGTCATATATATTTACCAATTCAGGTTTACAAAATATAGTAATATGTTTCATGTTAGTTGATGCATTTTTATATTTTTCTTTTTGTTACTAATACTAGTAATATATTATTAGCCTTTCCCCCCTACACTTGACATTCATTGACCGAGCAGCCAGAACTGCTTTTGGTTATAAAATCTCTCCATCCTGACCTATTATTTCAAGTAGTGTGGAATGTCAACATTTGGAATATGTCATTATTTTCTCTTCAGCTTACATGCAATGTCCATTTTAGCTATTGCTGCTGTCAATGCTAGTCTTCAAGTAATGTGGTTTCTGTTTATTTGGTATAGTTCCTTCTTTGTGATTCTGTAGCGCCGGTCCACAATGTTAAAGAATTTTGTTCTTTGACAAGATCTTCAGTCTTCACTTGCTAAAAACCATTTTTAACTATAACATATAATAAGGGTTATATTTATATATTCAAGCAACAACTTCATCTTTAAACCTAACAGCAATTTTTTTTTTTAAAATGTAAAGCTTCTTAAAATGAACAGTTGAAAAATAGATAAAAATTAAGATTTTGAAAATTACATCTTGCTGTGTTTATATATTTTAGGTTGGTTTGGCTTATTTGATTCTATATCAACCACAATGTTATTTAATGCTGACAAGATTTTTAAGATTGGTTTGTATGAATAGAATGTGTATTCTTTGTAAGTAATAAGTTTGCAGATCAGGTTTCATTGACATATTTTTGTAAAGAGGGTTTTTGTCAAAAATCAAATATATTGGCGGTAATATTTTTTTTCAAGAATGTATTGCTGTTAATATACCTCTTGAGAGGTGCAGTATTTATGTTAACATTGATTTTTAAAAATCTATTGCTGGTAATAATTTCTTTTCAAAAATGTATTGCTGGTTCTTTTAATATAAAAATCTATTTTTAGATTTTCATTGTGTTTTGACCCCCCATGTAAATACCCTTGAGAAAACTATGAATCCATCTTCAGCTGAGGGTTAAGTAGTAAGACTTGTATCTTGGACAATCATTGTTATTTTCAAAAACATTTTCATGCAAAAAAAAAAAAAGTCTTATTCTTACAATGCAATGTATATTTTGGCTTCAAATAATCTACAAAGGGTTGATAAGTCATAAAAAAAACAAATCAGTTATTTAACCATATAATTTTAAACTAACATATTGGCTCATCAACAGTCCCTCAACAGCTTCAATTGTTGGGGGTTACCTAAGGGCAAAAGAAACCGACAACCCCCACCCAGATGATCTGTTGGTGGTGGTGGCTCTCAAGGGTTCTTGCATTGTTGTATCTGACCAGCTTTTGAACTGCTTTCTCTGCTTGTGTCTACCTTCAACAGTGCCTTGCGTGTTGATTTTGCAGAGGCTGTTATGCAATGTAACATGGCCAAACCATGCCATCTTCCGATACTTAGTAGTAGCAAGAAGAGATTCCTATCAGACTTTTGACCTTGCTTCATACATAGTTACTGGTTTTGTGCTCCCAGTAGGGGATGTGGAGGAGCATTCCTGAGCATTTGTTCTTGGAGGCCTAAATTAGCCACCCAAAAAGTAAAACTAGCAAGACAAGTTCATTTTCCAGCTAATCTGCTGCATTCAGTTTCAGAGAAATAATTTTGGAAAAGATTTCTTCACCCTCCAGTATGGATTAAATAGTAAACTGAGCCTTGGCTGGCAAACAGTCTAAAAAAAAGAAAGACACTAAATTCAAAGCTATAAACAAGACAATGGGAAAGCAATTCACTATCTTACTCAAGAAGTTATGGCAATTTGCAGATATTAAAGAGATGGAAGCTACATCTTGTAGGAATGCAGCATTAAAAAAATGTTAATGTGGATATTTTTTAAAACACACAATGCAAAACCTAAAATGACAAATGAAACTCATGACATCCTAACAATTCACAGGTATTAAAGAGATAGAAGCTGTGGAGTAACATGACCACCTACTTGCAGAAGAGGCATGGCATTAAAAAAATATATATAATTTGTTATACTGTTTTAAAAATCAATGTGAAAATCAGCAACAAAACACTAACCCTGATGCTATTTTCAATGTTATCAAATGTTTAAATGTAAATTCAGTTATTTAAATGTCTCTCAAAATTAATGATCACAAGAGTTTAATGAATTAAACTGTTTTACTTTTATTGTGTATTTTGAGTTTCATGGAGGTGACGACTTAGTTTTGTTTTATATTTACAAATGTAAATTTCATGCACAAAATGTAACAACGCTTATGGGCAACAGGCAATGTTATTACAGGCAACAATAAACTATTAGTTCTGGATATTCTTAATTGGAATATAGTCAGATTAGGAATATCTGTTGAATTGGTTAATGATAAAAATCAATTAATGCATCTGTCAATGTATTTCCTAATGTTCTGTATAAACATTGTTTTAATATTAATTCAGATATCATTTTTAATATTTTATTTCATATATTTATTATTTATATTATTTTACTATATATTATACATAGGAAAACAATTGTATGAATTTTTTATATATATAATATATAAATAATTTCTATTTATCATGAAGAATTTTAGGGAAAAACGATAAATTAATAAAGTCTTTGTGTGATGCATTTTGAATGAAGTCCTAAAGGATGAAACATGATACTTAAAAACATTTTACAATTTTTATAGTTTTCCCTAAAATATATTATAGATTGTTATATCTATTATTTTAATATTAATATTTGATTTGAGTATAATATTTTAAGTATACCATTTTTTATATTGATATTTCATTTATTATATATATTTTGTTTAATATTTTATTATTAATTAATACATACTTTTTATATTATTATTTTATATATTACGTTTATTTTATTACATATAATTTCATTATTGTTAGATGATTCTAATGGTCCAACTCGGGGAAAAAAGTGATGGATTCAATATTCGACATATTTTATATGCAAAGGCTGCAAACAATGTCTGAACCATGAAAATCGACCAGGAAAAGAAAAGTCACAGAGCTTTTGATAATAAATTCAAAGAGGAAAAATACTAAAGACCCCTGCGATGCAAAAGCTTTGGAAGTGGGGGGGGTGTTATGGGAACTTACCTATAACAATAATGGACTCTTCCTGACACTATAAATACTGCGCCTCTCAAGAGGTATAATGAATGAATGTTGTAACAAGTCAAGACAATATTAGTTCACTCTAAACCAGACGGGCAGTCATTACTAACACCGTAAATATCTTGTACTATATTTCTGTTGTAATATATCTTTGTTATTCTACTCTTGTGTTCATGTTGTTCTTCCTTGGTTCTAACCTTGGACCATAACTGTGGTGTGAGGATATTGGAACCTAACAGTTATATAAATGGATGTATGTATAATATATATATATATATATATATATAAGTGTGCAATGAGTAAATTGTCAGCATTTTATATTTTTAATATCACGCACATGCATTTTTGATTTTGTTGATTTCTCTGTGTAGTAGGGTCAGTTGAACTGCATGAATTTAAGCATGCTACTAGGTTGGCATCTCAGTCCCACCCTTTCACTGTTGAAACAGTTAAATATAACTGCCTTTTCTTCTCTAACAGCTTATTCTCTCACACTTCCTAACAGTGGAACTCCCTTCCTCTTACTTGCTTCCCTGGAAATTATAATCTTCAAAAAATTTAAATGTAATGTCAATTTACATCTTCTTATGCCATGATCTTGATCCCTGTTCTTTCATCTTTCTCTTTATCCCTTCCTCAAACACCCTGTAACCTCTCTGTAACCCCTTGTGTACTAGTGGCACTCCCAACTTGCTTGGGGTGAAATGCATAAAATATATATATATATATATATCAAAAACAGAAAAGATATCGGTTTACTTACCATACAACTTATCATTGAGTGCTTGTTCTACAGCTTCTTCAAAAGGCAAATTTGTGTTAATATCCTTAAAAGTGATTAATCTGAAAAAAAATAAAAAGAATAATTATAGCAATAAACATTTGCAGAATAAAGTCTTCAAAAAACAAATACATGTTCTTCGTCTTAAAATGTTAAGAAAAAAAATTGAGTGAATTTTAAGATTTAATTCTTACCCACATACATTAGAATCATCCGTGACTTAATGAATATATAATTTTAATTCTAACCTTGATTAAATAAATATCTGAGAACTAAAGAACATAGATCTTAACAAAGCTTTTCTATTGTGAGGATCAAAGTGAGAACATTTGCAATGACTAATACTTGTTTACTTTTGGGATATGACATTACCCTCGGCACAGTTGTGTGACATTACCCTCGGCACAGTTGTGTGACATTACCCTCGGCACGGTAGCTATCCAATAACTAAGTGATTAAGACATTAGTAACAACATTTTGGTCTTGAGGCACCCAAACACTTTGAATGGTCAAACTAGTATACCCTAGAAATGTCAATGCATTCACTTTCACACAAGTGACCTTCATCTTTCCCCTAATAGGTTATGCATTCTTTTTCTCTGTCCCTTTTGCCTTCAATATATTATGTGACTGCAAATTTTCCAAACCTTTTTTCTTTATTATGTGTCCCAGAAATTTAAAATATTTCTTCCTGATTTTAAATATGTGACATTTTTGTTTCCATTTTCTCTAAAAACTTTGTCATTGCTCACATGTTCTATTCTATTCATGGTATTCACAGCATCCTTCTCTAGAACCACATTTCTGTTGTTTCAAGTCTCTTCATCTGTGAGGATATTGTCCAGCATTCACTGCCATACAGGAGGGCTTGTATAACAGTTCAGCACTCAATTTTTAAGCATTTGCATTTTCTTTCAGAGTTATCAATCAAGTGTATTAATATGTTGGCTTCCTGTTTGACACAGGAATTATAAAAGACACACCATGCTCACAACACTAACCACAACAACTCAGGGATGGTGAGTATCTTGAATGTTGCTAGGTGAATGCCAGGAAGCTCTCCACAGATATACCTACTCCATATCACACCTGTTATGATCCTGGGAAATGGAAGTAGTAATAATTTCACCTCACTGAACATCCCATAATTGTCCTTGTGCTAGACTGATTTTTTGGGTTTTTTTTTTTTTTAAGCATTTCACCCCAAGCAGTGATAATGCCAATTGCATACAATGAATGAAAGAGAATAAGAAGACTGAGAATGGCGCGGATTGAGGAAAGGACCAAAAGGAAAAGGGTTCAAGAAAATAAAAGTTTGTAATTGATGTTGAACTTAAATTTTTGAAGATTGTAGTTATCAGGGAAGCAAGAAATCAGAAGGGAGTGAAGTGCAAGAAAAGAAACTGTTAGAGTAGAATTGGTGGTTGCATCTAGCTAGTTCAAGAATAAAATGGTCATACCTAGTTGCCAATCTAATAGTAGACTTAAATTCATGTAGTCGGGCACTAGGAAAAAAAGCTCATCAAAGCAGTAGCCAAGAAAATATTTGTAGAATTCATGTCAGTGAGAGTGACTGAGGTTGACATGCCAAGTCAGGATCAATTACTTTAGAGCCCCATTTTTGGATTTTGTTAAGAATCTTGATGTACAGCAGGGAGCACCAGATCAGATATTGCTTCTCTTAGCCATCATAGAGTTAGTTAACAAGCTAATGTTATAGATCATTACTAGTGCAATAACCCTGATTCTCACTGGATGATTTACAGTTGTAGCCTTGTATTAAACTTGGCTAAGGTTTTATCTCCCCCTAGAGCAGTGGTTACATCATATATTGTAGAGCATTTCAGTTTTTACATTATTTTAAAAGACCTTATAGCAGAAAAAAAAATAACTTCATATAACCAGGCTCAGCAGAAAGACCCTTAGATTCTGTTGCTCTTTGTCTCAATCTACACTTTCATACTGAATTACTCTTCTTTTATGTGGCAAGTCTCTTCAGGACATAGGCAATCATGGCCCTACACATATGGCTGTCCCTTTTAACTTTTGTCTTTTTGTTATTTCTCCCAAACCTTGCTCAGCCATTCATTTATTCAAGCTTTCCTCTGTCTCTCTTACCCTGAATCTGCCCTGTGTGTATCTGATTTTCCAAGCTCTCCTTCCTCATTACATGCCCCAGAAGTTTCAACTGTCTCTTCATGAGTATGTGTTTCCTTTTTGTTTATATTTTCTCCAAACCTTGTCGTTGCTCACATGTTCAGCCCATGGTATCCTCAGCATCTATTCAGTAGAACCACGTTTCTGTTGATCCAAGTCTTCTCATCCATTCACTGCCATACAAGAGGACAGATATCATGTAACAGTTCAGAACTCTCTTCTTTGCTTCTAATAAAAGAATGTTCTCTCTTAATACTCTGCTTAGCTTTTGGATTGCATCTTTGACCATCCCACTATATCTTCAGATCTCAGTGTCACACTGTTAGAACACTTCGCAGATATTTAAATTTAAATTAATGTATTAATACATCATAGAAAAATCTGTCCAGCGACTTGATATATGGCTGGCATTGTATGAAATTATTGTATCTGTCTATAGGAGGCATGGTGGAGTAATGGATAGTGGCTGAGTTTGCAGAATTGGAGAGCTGCATTTAAATTCCAGTTGAATCCATTACATTCACTTAAATGCTAATATCTTTGGGAAAGCTATGAATCCTCTTCTTCCCCACACAGCTATGGGTAAATAGCAGGACAAACCAGGTTTCTTTGGATGGCAACTGGTCTACCACCGAAAGAAATAGCAAGCTACTGCGGGAAAAAAAAATCTGCCTCGTCAGTCATGTATTGAAAGATACATGATCGCCTAAGCATGTATCACGCATGGCACATAACTGACAGACTGTATTTCTAAGATGAAGTATTGTATAACTATTTGCATTATTTACATTGTCCGGACTGTTGTCCTCATCTTTGTTGTCATATTCTCAACATTTTGGCTGTTGTATGCTCTGGCCTTCTTCGAGTGATTGGAATTTTGAAATGAACCATTTATTTCATCCTCAAGGACACATGGCCCCGGTGGATAAAAGTCTTGGTTGAAATAATCCAGCGATGTGACCCAAAGAGTTGTGAGTTTAATACTTAGCTATAGCAGAGGTGAACAAAACTTGGGAGCATTGAGTTAAAGGGAACTAACTGAAACTGAGATATCCAGAAGAGCCATGGCATGTGGAATTAGAATTAAATAAAAAAAAGGGTTTGGTGTGAAATTCCAAGCACCTGAAGAAGACTGGAGTGTACAACAGCTAAAACGTTTTGAATATGACAACAAAGATGAAGTGTGACATAGAATACCTTGCACATTCTGGTAAAGTATGAAATAAATTCATTTCAGTCCAAATTACTCCTAAAAAATAAACTAGGTTAAGAAAAATACTCTGCTTAGCTTTTGGAATGCATCTTTGGATATCCCAATGCGTCTTCGAATCTCAGTGTCACATTTTCCATCTTCTATTAGAATACTTCCTAGATATTTAAATTAATGTATTAATACATTATAAAAAGACAGTTCAACATAAGTGATTTTATATACTTGATATATGACTGGCATTGTATGAAACTAATTTATTGTATACAATTATTTGGCATTCTATAGAATATCTTGCATATTCTGATAAAGTATAAAATAAACTCATTTCATTCTGACTTAATCTCACTTACTTTTTAAGATTAAGAAAAATGCACATTGCAATTCAATATCATTCAGTTTCAGACAGACACAGCAAATAGAAGACTAAACTGATACAATATTCATCAGAATATTTTTATCTACCTTAGGTTTCCAATATCAGTTTGTTAATAAAATTTTCTCATCACTGTTTTCTATTATTTAATTAGTTTGGGTTTCACAGGTTTCAATTCTTTAATAAAATGTCCCTCTGCTGTCTGTTACATTTTATGCACACACACACAAAAAAAAGAACAAAAGCTAAACATTGTAGAGTGGACCAAGGCATTCTGAACAATAAGTTTTATGCAATGCTTGTAAAAAAAAAAAAAAATCCATATCCCCCAGGGAAGACCTTCCAGCACAAATTAATCAGAATAATTGATGAATTCTTTTCAACAGAAATCAAAAATGGAATCAGCGGAATTCAAATTTTCTCCAAGGCAGTTGGTGTTCACATCACACTAATGCTCTTGAGAAATACAAAAATTACTCTCTTCTCTCAAGAGCTATAAACAAAACAGCAAGGCAAACTCAACTCAACTTTCTTGCCTTGGTTGGCAACCAGTCTAGAAAAAACAGTCTAGGTGCTGCATGCAGTTGCAGCTTTATTCTTCAGAGTTTAATGATACTAATGAAGAAAATTCCTTTATTTCTTTTGCCTCTTAAACACAGAAATAATCCTATCAAAAGATTGTCCTATAAACAAATTGATTAGCAACCCCCAACTATGAGTTAAACAATAGGACAATATCCACTCATAAATAATTTTTTTTTCTTAAAACCCAAAAAAGGGTTTCTGATTTAAATAACACAAAAACGGTTGCTAAGTTGTAAAAAGTAAATCAATCTATTGACTGGCAGCCAATTAACAGGTGATGTTTTGACAATATGAAATGACCAGTAAGCATTCATCACAGAATTCAGAGCCCAGTTCTTCTATCATCCTGGGTATGATGATAAACTGCATCTGGAAGCAAGGCCTCTGATCCAGTTGTTTTGAAGAGTGTGGAACCACCTCTTAATTGCTGTTGTTCCCAGGTCCACTCTGATCTGGGGTGGTGTTACCTGTTAGTGTCTCAGCTATTGGCAAATAGTAACCACCCCACCCAAACTGTAGGTATGAAAACAGATTTTTATAGTAAAAATACCAGCAATACATTTTTGAAAAAAAATAAAACCAGTAATAAATTTGATGCTTTACAAAAAGATGTCAATGAAAATGGATCTACAAACAGATTCCTCATAAAGAATACATATTAGATTCATACAAACATATCCTAAAAACTTTGTCAGTATTAAATAACCCATTTGAGGATGATATGCCATAAAACA